TGTAAGGGCACACTGAGCGTGGAAAGGCCAAACTCTCGGTCCAAGCCCAGTTCCTTGAAGCCGAAGAAATCCTCATCAATATCCTCAGCAAAGTCGCCACCGACGAACTGTTCACTGCCATCGGCAAATGCATTTGAGCCATCTTCGCCACCTTCAAGGGCAGGTCGAAGAAGTTCCGTCAGGAGTGACCTGAGTCGATCATTAGCAGTGGTGAGCTTGGTCCCTAGACGATCCACGTCATCCTTGATATAAGACTCCAGTTCATCTATGTGGATCCCCACGGTAGACAAGGTGTGCAGAACAATTTCAGAATGAGTGTATGCAGGTTTCCATTCGGCGGTTGAAGGTGTAGTCTCATGTGGTTCGGTGGTGGGAACCTTTGGTGTTTCCATATAAGACTTGAAGGTGGACCCCAGCTTATGGAAAAAGTCAGCGGCAATGTCTGTAACTGCCTCAAGAGCAGATGGCTGGTATTCCTCAAAGCCAGTATGATAGAAAACTTTAGCGACTGAGCGCTGCAATGCTGCCCTACAGGCCCAAGGGGCAATGACGGGGCCGTTGTCATTCATGACATGTGGTTCAATGTCTTGCTCCTGAAATGGCTCGGGTTGATATTTTTGGAATTGATTTTGGTACATCTAGAGAAAGGTCAGCCAAGAGCTTGGGCCATCACGGAGTAATGGAGTCGCTTACCTGAGATTGAAGCTGCATCTGCTTGACAATGCCAATTTTGGAGCAGATCTTGCGAGTTTCTTGCATCTGTCGCATGTTCGAGTTCATCTTGCGAGTCAACTTGCTATCCGGTTGGATAAATTCACCTTTTCGAAGCATGTGAAGGAACTCTTCAGAGGCATCAACAACATTGCCTTGTGCGTCTTCCTTCCAGAGTAGCCGCTCAGGAAGGTCAGGAACACCAGACATAACATCATAATAATAAGGCAGCATCTGGTCTTCTTCCACCTCAATGCCTTCCGCAAGACTCTCCCCTGCGGCCTCGGGTTCCATGGCTTGGGGATCCCCATCGCGAGACTTGTCAGCTTCGATGGTAGCTTGTTTCTGGTGTCGAAGCCATCGGCGCATGCCGGCTTTACTTCTAAGTAAAGCGGGTTCTTCGGCGTTGAGCTTGTCTCCCCGGAGGAGACGATGCCGCTCTGCCGCAACACGCGCTCTATCTCTCTTGGTGACTTGCTTCCACACTTTGTACTCGGGGTCTTCCGGTTCTACGCCGCCGGAGACTAACATGGCACTAAGCGCAGTTGTTGACGTACTCGGACCGTCGATATCCATCGTATCATCCTGGCTCGCTGTCGCTATCGCTCCTGGACCGGCAGGGTCAGACGGCGTGTTAGAGCCGGGAGGGGGTGTGGAAAATCCATTTTGGCTAGCTTCACCGGTAGCGTCCGAATCTGCGCGAGCTGGCGCAGGAGGCTGAGTGCTGGGGGCCCTAGCAGGACTAGGAGTATTGCGCGAAGGGGCAGTTCCTTTTTTGGAAGTCTTTTTGCCAGGAGCCTTTCTACCTCGCGAGGACATGATGGGTTCATCGTCACTCTCCTCGGCGCCATCGTTATCGGCAAGCTGAAGTCGACGTTCTTCGGCCTCAACTTCGGCACGGTCCCTGATGACAATATCTGGAATGAGAGGGACAAGCTTCTCAGTCTCCTTGCGCATGTAAAGTGCGTGCTTCCGCAGAGGATGTTCAGTGTTGGTATTGTATTTCAAGCAATTCGCCCAAATGAGGGTGAGGTCATCGACAAAGTCTTGTTTTGATCTATACTGCAAGCCTTTCAGCTTCTTGGTCATTGATCCAAGGTCCATCGGGTGCTTGATGACTAGTGGGGAGTTAGTAAATGAAACAGATCGTTGCGGTAAAAGGGCCGCTTACTCGTGTGATAGTCCGGCGCATCGCGTTTGTTGACGCGGGTCAAAAAAGCAGTTGAATGTTCTGTCATAGCTTTAAGCTCACTGAGAACCTTTTCCGCAGCTTCATATAGCTCTTCCTGGCCGACCTTGTCTTCGTTCGCCCATTTGCTGCGATTCTTGCGAACCTCGCTCAGCAAGCTCCGCAGTTCAGCATCCGATGCCTGCACCCGGTCTCGCTTCTTGTCGATTCGTGCGATAAGGTTTTTCAAAGTCAAACTAGAGGCGCCTAGGTTGGTATTACTCAAGGAACTGTAGCCATTGGCTGCCCCTGAGACATTATTGCCGCCCATGTTAGCCTGGCCGGATATCTCTGCCTCGACTTGTCTCTCTGACTCTTCCAAGCGCTGTTGATCAAGCATAGCATCCCGGTCATTCTCAAGGGTGTAGAACAGAGTGTGGAAGCTTCTTCTGGCGGCCTCCTCCGTTGCTTTCTTATCTTCCTCGAGTTGCTTCCGGAGATCCTCCATTGTCTCCTTCTTGGGCTCTTTGAGTCCATCCGTCATCGAGACACTGGGACGGGGTGCTAATGGCGCGGCACCACTAGGTTCCTGTGACGCAGCGGCAGACTTGGTTTTTAGAGGGGATTCAACCGCATCGTCCATTTCCTCGTCTTCGTCGTCATCATCGTAGTCATCGTAATCATCGTCATCAAGCTTCCGGGCCGACTTGCGTGGGGCGGCGGAAGGGGGAGGCGCATCATCGACGCGTTCGGGTTCAGCTTCGGACGCCTCAGTAGTTTCCCCAGCCGCAGGGTTATCGTCCGAGTATCGCCCAGAGAACAGCGCACTTATTTTCGCCTCACTGCGGCGATACAATTCACGGAATTGAGCAATGCGCGGGTCTTCTTCGGGCGCGATATCGGCATCGGATGTCGAGCTGGGGTTCTGCGCTTCGGCGCCAACAGAGCCGCGTATTTGGGGTGTCCGGGAGCCAGATAAAGTCTTTACTAAGCCATTGACTGGGCGGGGAGAGTCCTGAAGATCATCTGGGGGCCGAATATTGCCCGGAGGCCAGGCGTTGTGGCCGAGCGACATGCTCGCTCCAAAACCCCGGTTCTGGGGCGGGCGAGACTCGATTCTCCGCGATTAGGATTACGGGCCGATCGGACGCGACACAGGGGTCGGAGAAGAGACAAAAGGCATAGAGATAGAAAACACCCCCGGTACAATTGACTGAAGATGTCAAAACAGCAAAAAATGATAGCGTGGGGGAGAGGTTTGATGAAGAAGGGCCGGGGGAGCTTCATAGGAAGTTTCTCTGGATGGGGATGAAGTACAGGGCATGAAGGCGGAGTCAACCGGCAGATCTTGTCACATTGTCACTATTTCGACTTATCAATCGCCATTGTTCACATCTTGACTTATTTCAATCTATTATTATCCGTGATCTTCTCTTGAGTTTACTGTGGGTTTGTCTGTTCTGTATCAGATTTTCCCCTGTTCTTTGTTGTTGTGAACATCCCCATTGCTCCGCATATGACGCACAAGGCATCAGCTGGGGCCGAACTCCTCCACATTTGACAGCTCTCCCGACGCAGACTGGGCAATCACTTTCACCAAAAAAAGAGTTTCAGCCAAAGCTTCTTCTCACTTTTCCCTCACTGACCTATCCCTCGGCCACCATGCGTGTTCGCTACCCTTTCGCAGGTAAGCTTTAAGAAGTAACCATTCTGGTTCCGGCGATCTTCTCAGCTAACCGCCTCAGGTGGTTTCATCTTCCTGCTCTTCTTAGCCGGTTACATCGGTCTTCTTCCACACAGCACCTCTTCAACAATACCAACACAACTCCAACCCAATGACAAGTTCCTCCACCTTGTCACATTTTTCCTCCTCTCGGTAACATTTTATTGGGTCTTGGACACCACCCGTCGGCGCACGCTACACGTGACCCTCGTGGTCTGCACATTAGGGCTGGGTGTTGGCTCTGAAGTTATCCAAGGGCTCCTTCCAAATGGTCGAGACTTTGACATATTCGATATTCTCGCCAATGTTGTCGGTAGTGTAGGCGCCGTCGGACTTTGCAACTGGTACCACCGACGCATGATGGAACGCCGCCGACAAAGTCGGTATGGCATAATGGAGGAAGGCACCGAGGATGTCGAGCTCGGTGGGGTCGTCGGGCATTCACGTCGTGACTCAGAAGTCATGAGCCCGCAGGAATCCGGTGTCATGAGTCTTGAGCAGGAAGTTGATAACTGGGACGAGAATGCAGTTGACACTTGGGATACGGAAGAAGTGCCGGGCCCTGAGCGAGAGACTGCTCCTCCCAGTTATGATGAGACTGGCGCTGCCGGTGGCCAATCGGCTGCAATTCCTGCTGCGGCAAAGCGTATTGATTAAGATTACTTCTAATCCGAGCGAGGCGTGTACTTTGTGCTTAGGAAAGGAGCATCTATGCGCCGCATTCAGATCTTGTTTTGCTATACTCTGTTCTTATGATGATGGATTTCATGTCTTGGTCTCACGTCGGTATGATACCAATCTCGATTTTGTGCTCAGCAGTACTGCGATTTTGTTTTATTGATTTGTTTATGTTGTTATATTATGCCTTGATGGGGATGATCTTTTCTATGAGCAAGCGCATGATTACTCTAAGGTTATGGGTGAAGAGTGCAAGGAATCCTCGTTATTTCCAAGGGATTGTACAGTGGTGTGGGTTTACCGGGAATATGTGGGAGATGCTACATAGCCATCAAAATGCTAATAACGAAATCTTATCCCAAAACACCCTATGATAGAAATGGTTACTCGGCGCAAGTAAAATGTCTCTGAGCAGTCGGCAAAGCATACAATATCACCAATTGGCTAATATACAGTGACTCTAGGGCGAGACCGACAGTGCTAGTCAATAAGCAATATAACTACATCCAAGATAATAACCAAAGTAACAAAACGGGGGGTATTTCAACAAGAAAGAAAAAATATATATCAGGGGGTTGGAACAGGGCGTAATTCAGAAAGGATCGCAAGTTCAAAATCAAGTAAACACCGTATGCCATGAAGGGATGCAACATAAATATTAACCTCTCGTCCAAAGTTGATGATCACAGATAGGACGAAAAGGTCGAAATTGAGCGGGCGTCATTCATTATCAGAAGGAGAAAGCTCTGGTGTACCAGACCGACTCTTCGTTGGCGTATGAGCGTGATCTGGGACAGCTTCCAACTCTGGCTTGGAAGTTGGGAAATAATCTGCCTGGTCATTTAACTTGGCCATTTTCGCAGACCGTTCCTCGCTGCCGTTAGGTGAGTCCAAGTTCCAGTCTGTAATCTTGCCCAGCTTCCGATCGGTTTGTTCTCGGAGCACTTCGTAGATGAATTGCATCTGCATCTCGTTGTAGACCATCATCATGCGTTGCTCGCGCATCCGATTGACTGTTTCGAAAACGGGGTCGATTTCGGGATCTTCCACGTCCAACAGATGTCCTGACTCCAGCTCGCACAGTAAATGGTCAAGCGCGATGAAAGTTCCTGTCCGACCAACGCCTGCGCTGCAGTGTACGATTCGGGGATTATCCGGAGTGGATTTGGAGGCTGATAACTTGATCAAATCGAGAAGGGCTTGGCGATCGCTGCCTTCGGGTTTGGAGTAATCGGCCCAGCCAGCGAAAAGGAAATGCCAGACAATCTTTGACTCCGAACCGATGGCCAGTTCGAGTTTGCGAATTTCAGATCGTGATCTAGCGTCGAAAGTTGATTCTAACAAGGTCACCCTACCCAAGACACCGGGTTCTGTTTGCTCACTCTCATCGAAGAGAACGTCAGACTCATCCGCCAGTAGTACCATTGAAGCCTGCTCCGTATCCAATGGGAAGTATTGAGCGCACTTTTCCCGGCCCGCTTCAAAAGTTTGAGTAAGCATCACAATAACGCCTACCTCCTGACTTTCATGGAAGACCATGTGCCAGAAGTCCGCGAGATGTCCAACTTTAGGGCCCTAATTGATGGTGAGCAAAAACATGTATGATTTTATGACGAATGCGCAACCTACCTGGGTCGCTATATATTTCCTTCTTTCCCGTGTCACCGAGTCTTCCAGTGTGATCGGAGAGGCGTTGATAAAATCACATTCGCCCTCGGCCACCTGCAGATGAACCCGACAATTTGCCCACGCCTGGACGTTACAATACCGATTCCTTTCTTTAACTCTTGGATCTGCCTCTAGGGCGAAGGGATGCAAGATATTATTGGCCTCCATAGCATCGGTGAGACGTGAACGTTGCATCCATTCCAAATCCTCGAATTTGTCATGGATCTCTGCATAAGGAAGCGGTCAGTCACATTCCACGTGCAGGTTGTATTCTCCGATAGGCGTTTATGCACCCCTCACTCACCCGAGACAGATTGACATAGGAACGGTGGCACATCTTCCGTGTTTCCAGTTTCCAGCTTTGGGTTGTCTTGATCCGCACCGAGTATATCGAGGCCCGCGTCGTCATTCTCGGGGAGTCCGCGCTTGGTCGCCTGGACGCTAGTGTCGATCTTGATAGTCGGATGCGCCATCTTGGCGGCAGCGATCCGCTGGAATGCTCGAACTTTACCGATGACACTGCGCGCTTTCCTCTTGACGCTTCTGGCTTTGGATCGCTTTTTGTGCGGGGCAGAATCGAAGGAAGGAGAAGGCGAAGGAGACGGCTCGGTTCTCACGTCGCTGTCAAAATCCGCAGACACTGATGATATCTGCAGTGATGACAGATCGGGACAGCTATAGAAGCTGTCCCGGGAAGACGTGTCCAGGGCCAGATTTTTTGAGGATCGCGGGGGTTGGGCGTCGAGGAAGTGGAGGAGAGCGTCGCAATAAAAGTAGCCCTCGTATAGGGTGTGTCAGGCCGTATACTCCCGAGTCCACCTGATTGATTTTCGGATCAAAAAGCAATTAAAAGAACCGAAGCCGAGGAATAAGAAGGTTTAAAGAAAAAGAAGAGAAGAGAAGTAAAAAAAAAAACAAGGCGAAACTGGAGACGAGCTAAAAGGAGAGAAAGTGGAGGGGCGCAACGAAAGAACAAAAGCTCCGAGATCTCCGAGTATATATAGTATTATAGTGATATATAGTGTTATAATATGATCTTATTATAGTGCTATAGTGTTCTAGTATGTATTTATATGAACCAAACTATATATATATATAATATAGAAGCTAAAGAGTCAACTATTTATGTTTTCATGTTTCGATGTCGCATTGGTAATTGGTTTGCCACCTATCGAATTCAGCTGCTTGCGGCATCCCACATTCATACATATTCGTAGTCTTTAGGGCCTATTAATATTATTGTGCTTTCTTATTTGGTTGGAACTGAATTTTGATAGAAACGGGCATCTTCCTAGGATCTATTCTACCCCCTTTATGGCCCTGACTCTATTTACTTGTTCTATACTTTACTCTCTTGAACTCTTTTAACTTTGGCGGGGAAACGCCTTTAGAACTTCATACTCTCTCTCTCTCTCTTTCTCTCTGTCTCTCTCCCTTCTTCTTCTCTTTATCTTCTCTCTTTATTTCTTCCCTCTTTAGCCAATAATCTCCAATTTTCCATCCCCGGTCTCGGATGACGCCCTCTTATGCTGACAGGTGTTGAACACCCCCGGTTCGCATATGTCAACAAATCCCCAGATATGGTCTCCCAAGCTCAGATTGTTGATCGCACAACCGCCCAAAGCACTGCTTCTCTAGTATCGCGTCCCTCAAGCAGACGACACCGTTCTAGTCGCTCGCACCATGGCGGCTCCTCGCACCCATCCTCAAACGATTTCCCCATCTTCACGTACACGGGTGACACCGAGGTCGTGATCCGCGCCGGATCGCAGGAACGGCGTTATCTCCTCCACAAATTGATATTATCACAATGCTCAGGCTTCTTTGAGGCGAGCACCAATGAGGACTGGTCGCGCCAAACGGCTTCGGGTTCGTCTAAGCCGGAGGGAACGCTGTCGCGACTGAGCGAGGATGATGATTTGTCGAATGGATCAACACTGGCACCGTCCGATAATGGTGCGCTCTCGACGCGACCAGGAGAAAAGAGACGATGGCGTTATGAACTTGACTGGGAGAATCGCGCAGAGGATGAAGAAGCGATTCTTGTCCAAAAGGTACGCATTGCGCCGGCGCGTCGCATAATCTCGTAGTTGCGAACAATGCTAATGTCGCGTGTCGAAACAGCAACCAACCTATGCCCCCATGTTTAGTGGCGACCTAGCCGCATTGCCTCCAAAGATGACCAAACCATCCAACGCCCAGACAGGCTTCATTCGATCCATGGCAAACCTAGCAGGGATGCAGTCGGTAGCCCACCTACCGCAGACCGGGGAACACGCTGTCGCGGTCGACTCCTTAATACGTGACTATGACAATTTACTACGAATATTTTACAATCATGCCCCCTTTATCAACAGTGTCAACATCGCCTCGGCATATACAGAGTGCAAATCCCTCCTCGCATTGGCGGATATGTACGACGCGCTTCCGGTGACAGGGCCCCGCGTGGATCACCACCTACTCGGCTTCGGATCCCGTCTATTCAAACAGATCGCCAAATACCCACCTAGCTACCTGAAGCTGGGATATCTCGCCCGCAGCAAGGTCATCTTCTCCGAAGCCTTAATCCACGTCGTCGGCCAGTGGCCCACCGCCCTACCAAGTCTGCGAAACGGCTCCTACGCGCCGTTACCAGACTCGCTCCTAGACCTGATCGAAGACAAAGTAGAAGATCTCGACGAGCTCAAAGCACGCGTTGAATCCAAGCTCCTGCGTCTATCCCTGACCACCTCACGCGGCGAGCGTGTTGGCCCCTCAAACGCATATCTGGACTGGCTCGCCGTATGTCTATTCCGCCAATGGCTGATAGAAAGTACCACTCCCCCGCCAGCTCCTATTCTTAAGAACTCAGGTCCAAGCGATGGTCCCACCCAACCTACCGCATCAGCGTCACATCCGACAAGCACGTCGCGATCAACTACACCCCCAGACCCGTCTGCGCGCATCTATAAATTGATCGGCTCCTCCTCCGCGCAGGCATACCTGCCTCACGACGAGCTAAAGCACTTCCTCAAACTTCATCCTACATCCTCTGCTGGCTCGCTTTACACGCGCGAGACTCTGAAACGCTTTGAGCGCAAGATGGACGAGATGAAACGTCTGGCACGGGATATCGTCAAGCCCCTCATGCGCAATTTCCTCGAGTTGGAGCTGAAAAGCCCGGATCAAACAACTACTGCTACCGTTGGTCCTCGTGAGAATATTCCGGTGGGATTGCCATATCTTACATGTACCCGTGTTGAAGATATAGATCTACCTTGGTAATGAGCCTGGCAACTACTTGGGATCTATCTTTTTATCTCACATTTAGTCTGCCATAATTGTCTTTTTGGATGTCTTTGCCCTACTTGGAGTTTATGACGGCGTTTGGTTGTTTTTGGATCTATTATCTGCGCTTTTTTTCTCAGGCTGCTGGTCTTGTCTGAAGAAAGAGACCAGCTTGCATTGCTATCTCTGTGATTTGCTATGATATGATGTTTACTTGATTTATGTTGTTTCCCTTGTTTCTGATTCATGTGTTCACGAAGTCATGAATGGCTCTGCCTCTGTTTTGTTTTGTTTTAATATTCTGCTCTATGCTGCCCCCAATATGGCAGGGTTCGGGGGTCTTTTTAAGACCTCATTTTTGTTTATTATGTTGTTAGAGATACCAAAAATCACAGGTAATGCAATACAAGATTCATGAATACCTATCCTTGTATTACAGGTAGCTCATATGAAGCAGACTTGCACTGAATGTCCACCGCATTTCTAAAAAATACATAATATACAGCGTCTCCACGAGGTGAACGAGAACACTCGCTCAGTCACTCCCATCTAGCTCCGACCAATACTCTCCATCCCATCCATCCAAGGCCGCAAAACCTCAGGAATAACAACAACACCTCGTTCAGCATCCCAACCATTCTCCAAGATCGCAGCCAGCACACGCGGAACAGCCATAGCAGTCCCATTAACAGTGTGCGGGAACCGTGACTCCTTAGCGCCACCGCCACGCACCCGAGCCGCCAACCGTCGACTCTGGTAGTCCGTACAGATAGAAGCAGAAGTAACCTCACCCCAAGCCGACTCCAAATGATGAATCTCAGGATCAACCGGCGTAGCAGCACCACCCGACGCCGCGCGCAAACGAGACGGGAAGAGCGCCTCGATATCTCGCTTACGCGTCGCACTAGCCCCCAGATCCCCACTCGGCATCTCCAGCACGCGACAAGGCAGATGCAGCGCCGTCAGGATCTCCGTCTGCATATCCAGCAGCTCGTTGAACATATCGTCCGAGCTCGGAGCGGCCCCGTCCACACTATCCGCCCAGCCGAACAGCTCGACCTTGGTGAACTCGTGCACGCGGTATAGGCCCTTCGTATCGACGCCGCGGGAGCCAGCTTCGGCGCGGTAGCAGCGACTCGCGCCGACGAGCTTGATCGGTAGCTCGGAGGCGTTGATATCGCGCCCGGCGTACATGGCTGCTAGGGGGATCTCGGCGGTGCCGGTTAGCGAGCGTTGGGGTTTCGTGTTTTTGTCGCGTTCGTTCTGTTCGATCGACCAGATCTGTTGCTCGTTGTGTTGATCGCGGGGCTGGAACCCACATGCTTCGGCAATGTAGGAGTAGACGATTGAGGGTGGTGCGACGGTTTTCCAGCCTCGGCGTCGGGCTGTGCTCAGCGCGTACTGCACGAGTGCTTGTTCAAGCATTGCGCCTTCGTTGATTAGGAAGTACCAGCCCCATCCTGTTGTTGTGGCGGAGCTGGCGAAGTCGAGGAGGTTGAGCTCTGTGCCGATTGTGACGTGCGACCGGGCTTGGAGCTCGGTTTGGGATTGCCGGGTCCAGGCGGGGGGTTCTTGGGGGTTGAAGTTGATGTATTGGACGAGAGTTGGGTCGTGTCCGATGGGTGTAAATGGGGAGGAGAGGTTTGGGAGGGAGAGGGCTAGTCGGTTGATCTCTTCGGTGCAGGTTGCTTTGCGTTCTGTCATGGACTGGGAGTCTTCCTTTAAGCGCTGGGCTTCTGACTTGAGTTCGGCCAACTCCTCGCTTGGACTCAGGCCCTTCTCGTTAATGGTACCATCTGTACCTTGCCGAGTCGCAATGTGTAGCTGGGCGATGGTCTTCTCTAATTGTTTGATGCGGGATCGAGGGGTTTTCAGGTCGTAATCCAGTTGTCTAGCCTCCTCTGATAATTGTTCAATCTTCGACGGATACCCGGCGTGACCTGCATAGTTGCGATCTATGCAGTTCTGGGCGTAGAGGTCGGCATTTTGGCGGATGTGTTTGACATCCGGCGTGGGCTTCGGAGCTGTCGCGGGTCGCAAGATGTCTCGATTGCGTCGGGCGGAAGAGAAACTGCGTAGAGTTGCTTTTAATCCATATGAATTCCTGCAATTGAAGCAGACATATGAAGTGAGCGCCATTGGAGTTGGACGAGGAAGAAAAGAAGAGCCCTGGAGAACAGGCAATGTGCTGGAAAGTGGATCTCCCGGCTTTACCCTTTTGGGGGATCTGCATGTCCAATACTTCGTAATCCAACATACAACATTGTGATTTACTGAGTTCCAAGTCAATACTTTCATTTGATATATCCTTTTTTAGGGCTCAAATGTATGTATTACGAATATCACAGTCCGATCTAGAGCTAGGTAGGGTTATAGAGGAGAATATTCCTCCCGTCAACACCTCGTTTTAAGCATAGGAAACTTCGCATGTACTATTTTTTTTTTTGCGGTGGACCACTCGGTGGTGTGGACCATTTGGTAGTGAAATACGTTAGTTAACCAACTACTAGTAGTTATGTAGTTTAGGACGAGACATAGATACAAAAGGACAAAGTGTTGCACTGAGGCATTGCTACTTGATTCTCCACGCAGTTTTATCAGACGCTGCTTTGCCCCTTTGGGATCTGTCGGGCCTCTCTTTTTTCGACCCCATATGAAGCTGTATAGATAGCTTCAAGGTGGTAGTGGTGATCTCGACGATATTCATCGATCTTTGCTCCAAACATACTGGGTAGATCTCGGACCCCCCAATTTGCCTCGACACTGGCAATTTGACATCTTGTCGCATGTTTCGAGTTCTAAATGATGTCGCGTGATAACGCAATGGATTCACTCAGGGGCCTTGCATAATTGAAGGCGATTACATCTGTCACAAAATGGACCTCGGAAACTAAGAGATGAAGTTATATCTACTACCAAGATACTAAAATGGGTGCCTAAGGTTTCAACCTAGTGACTCAGGACAGCTAGCTACAAAGCAGTCATGTAGTTCTGGGAGCTGGTCTCTTCTCTCAATCAACCCCCCATCCACCTCCTGCTCTCTCTCAGACTTGTGTTTTGCAACATCACCCCTATCAACATGCCCGGAACAACCCCTCATCCCCTCATCCACATCAATGCCTTCGCCGGCGCTGGCAAGTTGACAGTCGCCAAACATCTTGTCGCCCTCTCAGAAAACCTGAAGCTGGTCCACAACCATCTCCTCATAAATCCAGCCGACGCTGTCCTCCATCGCACCCAACCAGGGTACCAGTCTCTTCGGCGCGCTCTCCGCGCCGCTATATTTACATCCCTAGCAACTGAGCCTGCAACCTTCAATACAACCTACGTATTTACGGATTTTCAAACAGCAAACGAACAAGGTTCCAGCGTGTGCAAGGAATACGCGCAGGCCGCCGAGGACCGAGGTTGTCTACTGATTCCAATTGTTCTGGATTGCGACGAAGATGAGAATATTAGGCGCATGACCCAATTGGAGCGTGAAAAACATGCAAAGCTTATGGACGTGGATCTACTGAAAATGTTTCGAAAGGGAGCACCGATTTTTGAGTTTAGCAATAGGAAGGAGTTTCTGAAGATCGATGTGACTCATAAGAAGCCAGAGGAGGTCGCAAGAATGATCTGGGAGCATGTTGTACTGTTTTATCCTGATTTAAGCATTGGGGAGTCTTGATGTTGGATTTACGTCGCTATTCCCTCACTTGATATGTGACGAAAAAGGGAGAGAGAAGGATAAATATGGATTCTTTATAAACGAGGCTAGTCACCTATATAAGCTACCTATATAGGTAGCTAGTTGAGGCTTAGCAAATATGGTATCTACCACTCTTACTACCACCGTGGGTTTAATTCTGGCTCGTCTGTGGGTGTCTGCTATCAAAGTCAACGAATCTTCGCTCCAAGCTGGTAAAAAAGCGAGAGTCAGGCGCTAGAACGGAATAAGAAAGAGTATCGAATTGAAGAGAAAATCCGCTATATATGGTTTCTTGTCACATGTGGCATTTCAGTACAGATTTTGTTTCCACTTGCATTCCTGGCTTCCGTAATTGGCAATGGCCACAGTGAATATGGATTTATGGGCAGGGTCATATAATATAATCAGGTCATAAATCGTTTGCCGTATCCTTGACTTTTCTCTCAATCTCCATCTCACAGCCCCAACTTATGCTTCTTAATCCTCGCACCCACGCCAGCGAGAATCAAAACGACAGAAACAAGTACACCCCATAGAGGAATATGAATCGCCGTCACGTTGTAGGTGGTCTGCGTCGCCGCCACGACAGTCGCCACCTCCAGCAGTAGCAAAACATATCCGCTCCAGCGATGGTACTTGTAAATACGCTTTCCAGCGTCGACACTACCAAGGACGGTGACCGGCAAAAAGTACTGGACAACACCAACCACGGCTTGTAGCACGATAGCGATGTAAGTGACCAGACCAAGAATGCCGTGGGGAGAAACAAAGTGCGGATGGGAGCCCTTGTTAACCTCGATAATAGCAAAGGCAGATACAAAAATGACCACGCTGAGCAGTTGAAGGAAGTAGTGGATGCGAGTACCGGTACGCTTCTGTTGCGGGGTGGCGGTTGGTTGTAAGATGAGAGCTGCTTGGACTTGAAGAAGAAGGGCAGAGCTTCCGAGTAGCTAATAATGTCCCAGTTAGTGTCTTGAGATATTTTGTTCGGCGATATAGGATATAGCTGCTTACTGGATGCGGGGTGAATAACGAGAGGGGGAGGGACAAAACGCCTTGCCAGACCAACGCTGCTAGCTGTGTTGTTTATTAGCTCTCTGATCTTTTGAATTGCTTATGATATGTTCTCACAATCCAAATTCCTGCTTGCGCGACACTTGCTGTTCCTGAGTTTGGAGTCAGTGGTGGGTTTTCAACTAAGATGTTTTCACGCTCACCTGTGAACAGATTCCGATAAATGCTCTCGTCGGGCTTTTGTGTGACATCGCCTGGGCGGCCCAATAGAGGCTCATCTTCTCGCGATACAATTGTTGCGGGGTGATCTTGAGGAATTCCTGTTGCCGAGGCCATTATGGGAGATTTGAGCGATGCTCATAAAAAAAAGCCAGCAAAAAGATTAGGCAAAGAGATTGAGGGCGTTGGCTGATAATCCTTGTATTTGTTGTTTTTTCCAGATCAATATTCTGTAAAATATCCTGTACGAATCACAAAGTACTTGATTACTTTTGCATTCGTGATCGTCGCCTTCAATGACGTTTTGGATAACATCCGCATATTGCCGGCCATTGAGCGGGATTCTATTGCAAAGCAAATTTAGCCCAAAAAAAAAAAGAAAATATCTGTATTTGGACTATGTTACTCTGTTATTCTCAGTCTGTTACTCAAATTAATATTCAGTCTCACAAGTACGTAGCTATCTTACTATACCGATACTACACTACTCTTGAACACTAGGTAAAAATACTGGGAACAGATTCCAAGTGAATAACTTCATTGATCTAAACACCAAACCTCTAAAGACTAAACATCACAATCAACGCCTAGGCTCTGGCGACGGGGCACCACTTCGGTTGCCTCGGCCAGGCGTAATTCTGTACTCAATATCCGCAGGGACACAAAAGTCTAAAAAGAGCATCATATTCTGGATATCGGCGGCGACTCTGTAGGTGCTGCTCGGGTCCCTGAAGAGAGTGTCTCTGAAGACTTCCATCCGTTCGTGGAGCTGGTTGCATTTGTCAGTCCAATTAGGGTTGTCGTAGGCATAACGAGCCTGTCCGGACATTCTCAGACCCTCAACTCGCAGAAGAAGAAGAGTCAGAGAATTGATAACCATCTTTCGGCCCCCCCTGTAGTTGTCCTGGAGAATGTCAATCTGAGCGTGCAAGGTGGTCATGAAGTAGCGACGCTCCTCTTCGTACGTACCGTGGCAAGCGCGTGTAGACATGGTTTTGGTGGGAGGTAAATGGTATTGGATAGAGGAGACTGTGAGGCTTACTTGAGGTGGTGGTCTCTTAGCTGATTGCCTGGAGACCGAGTAGCTGATGGATGATAATACATGTAAAGGTGGTGCATCCGGCCTCCTTTATATTTTCGCAGCTATCTTCTCGAGTACTTGATCAAAGAGAAACAAAGCAACAATAATCATTATTGAATTCTTTATATTCCAAACATAGCACAGTTGTTCGAGGGAAGGATTGATATTTAATAAAGCAATTCTAGCACAAAGGTGTGTCATTTTCTTTGTGGTATAAGACCCCCATTCAGTCTATATTCAGCCGCCTTTCACGATATTCACCAAGGCATTGTCAATACAGGCCCTTCCTCTCCAGACCCAACCCGACCAAAGACTACCTCCGCTCTCAGATTCTCCGGGTCTAAGTTCATAACAATGTTGAACAATGAACTACTTCTATTCAAGATATGGTGCGATGGATCCTCGCAAAATATTGTCTGGGGCTTATTATACGTATCAGAGAAGATACGTTTTCGCAGCAAAGCAGGTGTAATAGTATCTAGACCTCCGCAGAGCCCACAAAGCCCAAGGGTTGAGTTTTGGGCCCGGCCTCGGGCCTACCGATGGGCTATGGGCCTGAGGTAGAAGCCCACTATGGGTTAATAGGCCCCTAAATATGCCCCAAACAGCACAAATATACTCAGAATTCAGAAGTTGAACACCCTGTGTGGGGTTTTAAATTACCCTTCGTTTTACCCCCCTTTCTAAGCCTTATCTCAAAGGTAATATCTTATTAGTTTAAATGATTTAGAATCAACTACTAGTCATTTCTCTATATCAGGTCTAAAAACGTTAAAAAAACGCGTTGTTGGGATAATTTATAAATTATAGAAGTTGATGTAGAAAATACTAGGACTCCTACATAAACTCAAAATATACATCTTGTTAAAACTTTAATTTTGTAACATCTCGACCTCTACCAGTCAGATTGTATTTAGAATTAAATATATACTTATATAGCTACTATTAACATAGATTCTAAATTTGAACTTTATACGACGAGTAGAAGGTCGTAATACAGCAATTACAGAGGCCGCCCGAGATAGTCTCACAGGCCCCCACTAATAGGCAGTGGGTTGGGTTAGGCTTTGAAGGTTAGGCCCACAGCCCACTGCTGGTTGGGCTTTGCAGGGCGCTAATAGTGCCCTGAATTAGCCCCTGCGTCAACTCCCACAGCTGCTTGAGCCGGATGGGTGGCCCAGATAGCCAGGATCATCCACATTGTTTGCCCGATGCACATTTATTTAGCGAGATAAACCTCTTCCGGGGGCTGGGGTCAGCTGATACAGCCCCCTGAGCGGGGTCATCTCCTGAACGGAGTCGCCATGTAAACACCTACATACCCTGCTTTGGTTGAACATTTTCGGTCGATAATGTTTTCGTCCCTGAGGAAGAAATGGTCCCGGAGAGAGGAACGATCCCGAAGAAAAAAAAAGATCATGGCAACATCAAATTCGAATTTTCGGCATCTCCCCGTTGAATTAATGCAAGCGATTGCATTTCGCCTACCAGCAGAAGATCTGTGCTCGTTTCGGTTGTCTTGTAAGAGCATATATGAGAGCACTATGTACACTTTCCGCTGTACATTCTTCGAAAGGATAGGGACAAACTTGTCCCTCAAAGGCCTTGAAAGGGTCGAAGCCATAGCAAACGATTCAGAGCTAGCACCGCATGTTCGTTCCCTAACCGTGAAATTTGTCGACGACTTCGAAGATAGACTTGCAGAAGGCTTAAGGTGGAATCGGCATTCCTCCGGCTATTTACTACTGGACGCAGATGTTCAGAAATGGGCTGAGGCTCTGCGTGGCCTGGTGAACTGCACGTCTTTTCACCTCATTCGGAAGGGCTGGACTGATAACGACACCTGCCTCGACCGCTTCACGTCCACTGATATTATAACACTGATTCTCAGTGCTATCATCGAGGCTCATATCCCCGTCCAAGAATTCCTGGTTGATTTCGTACCGCCATGTGTCGGAGGAGCAAACGAACTCGATTTAAGACGCCTTAATGTGCCTGCTCTTTGGAAGCCAGAGTTCACCTCTGTTTGGGCCAGCTTGCAAGTTCTCCTGTTGAACTTTACAATGGAAAAAAATTGGATTATCGACTGGATTGACCCAATGGTGCGGCATGCAACTGATCTACGTAAATTGACAATCAAATTCGATGACGGTCGCGTAGCACGCGCAGTTATTGAACAACTTTCCTCCCTCGGCACGACTTCGCAGCTGCAGGAACTCACCTTGAATGGGGTGGCGAAATCAATAATCAACCCAGCGAGCTTAAGCAAGCTATTACACAACTATCGGGACAGCCTTCGTGTCATCAACATAACTTATGTACCTCTGGAGGACTCAGGCTGGAAATCGACATTGAAAATGCTCAGCGAGTTTCCTGTACTCGAGAGCTTCTCATTCGACAACCTGAGAGAATTTCGGTATGCTATGCACTTTCCGGTTGCTTCTGGAATCCCGACGGTAGAGCAGGGCACAGAGTTTGTTATATTCCGCCCTAGAAAACTAAGAGACCAAACCTGGAATACCAGGGTCCGCTGCCGGGGACCCAATGCAAAAGCTATTCTTCAAAGACTTGCAGACTCATTGGAGCCCCTCATTTTCCCAAAACGAAACCTCGTAACCGTGTGATCTGTCATGACTGGGAGCTTGGCGAAAGTATGGAGGTAGTCTCGTTTATTGTGGACATGGATCATTGAAGTCGGGGTTCACAATTTAGATTCTAGCAAGCTGATTCCATTGGGTTGGTCTTCCGGATCGAGTCTGTAATTATTCCCATCCGCATCATAGACGTATCGGACAGCTATATCCTATTTCAACTTAATATGTATCATATAGTATCCCCATTTAAAGTAAAAATTTTAATTTATTGCATATCAGCAAATTGATTGGCATATATGGCTGTCTCACCCAATTGATTCCTATGTAGGAGAGTTTTGGAATATGGTCGAACGGCCAGTGGGGTGCCTGGCCGAAAGAGTGATGCACTGCCCATACATAGACCTAGATGACTATAGAACCATATGATATGAGGTTTTCTGGCTATTTAAGCTATGGATATTTGTTCGCCAGGTTCAATTATATTGAATGTTTATCTTCCCACATGAATCATCTATGCGTCCCTAATCAAATGCTTGAACAACTTGTCCAGGTAATAGGCAGACTGCTTAGGATACCGCGTCTTCTCTTCAGACTCAAAGTCGATAAATGTGCAACCGAAGCGATCCGCATAGCCAGCAGCCCATTCTAGAGAAGATTAGGAATTTATTCATAAAGCAGACGAAGAAGTCAACCACTTACCCCAGTTATCAGTGAAAGTCCAGGCGAAGTAAGACCGGATATCAACTCCGTCTTCTTTCACAGCCCGCGCCAGCGCATTGCCAACATAGCCCTCAAAGAACTTGATGCGGAACTCATCATTAAGAACCTCAGGCGTGGGAGCCGTTTCACCCTTGGCAGTGGTACCATTCTCGGTGACATAAATCGGCATCTGGTATCGTTTATAGATCCAGTTCAACAACTTCCTGAATCCCCCCGGCGCAGCCCGCAGCCACGGGGTATCACTTTCCGCCCCGCGAGACACACCTTGCTTATTCTCATCAAAGATCTCCACATTCCCCTTGTGATCATTGATATCAGGCGCAGATGTCGTATGCTTCACAAAAAAAGTCGTGTAACTATTCATACCATAGAAATCCGAGCTCCCGAACACAAGCTTCGATTCCTCCTCCGTGAACTTTGGCAACCGGTCACCGAGCTGCGCACGCATCGACGCGGGATAATCACCCGTCTTGTACAAAGGATCCGCAAACCAAGATATCTCAAACTCGCGCGCACGCTCTGCAGCCTCCTGGTCGCGCGGGTCCTCCTCATCCCACGCCTCGGACCAGTTCCCATGCAGCGTGATACCAATAGTTCCCTTCTGCTGGGGCTGGAACTCTTCCCAGTATAAGTGCACTGCATGACCGTGCGAGACGAGCTCGGTGTGCGCGACGGTGAACGGCTCCGTGGATGAATCGCCCTCGGCATTGCGCTCACGGAAGGATGATCTGCCCGGCGCGTGCACGCCTGCTGCATACCCGGCGAGTGTATAAACGCCCGGCTCATTGTATGTAATCCAGTGCTTGACGCGGTCGCCGAAGCGCTCGAAGCAGACGCGGGCGTAGCGAACAAAGTCTGGCGTGTAGGCGTCTTGGTTTAACATGCCTCCATATCGGTCTTCCAAAGCCTGGGGGATATCCCAGTGGAAGAGAGTGAGGAAGGGGGTAATTCCATTGCGGAGGAGTTCATCGATGAGATCGGAGTAGAATTTGATTCCTTGCTCGTTGACGGGGTCGTCGCGGCCGCCGAGGGGGATGATGCGGGACCAGGAGAGGGAGAAGCGGTAGGCGTTTACGCCGTAGGACTTCATGAGCGCCACATCTTCGCGGTAGAAGTCGTAAGCTCGGACGGCGTCGTCGGCTGTGCTTCCATCGGCGATTTTGCCCGGCGTGTGACCGAATGTATCCCAGATCGATACGCCCTTTCCGTCCTTGTTCCAGGCGCCTTCTATTTGGGCTGCTGCTGTGGCGTAGCCGTGGAAGAAGTCAGGTCGGAGCACATCCTTCAGGTCTTGCACTGAGTTCAAATCCATCTTGCTGTGTTGCTCCAGTGTTGGGACTGGTGGAATTATGACAAGGGGGTTGACGATATATTTTCTTTAGCTTGGAGCTCTCATCGAAGATGCCCCGCAAAAAGATATCCGGATAAAGTGTTATTGTTCTCTCCAATTTACCCTGAGACTGGGATATGCGGGTGTTGCTCCGTGGTGGTTTAGGAAGTTCAAGTAGGCGACGAATCGAACTACAACAGCGGGGAAGACGCCAACACTTGTACAAAGTACAAAAGTACCGTAAGATAATAATTAAATGAATAAGCAGCGTTCTGTTCACATCATTGAGAGTTGAAATTTATTGATTGACAGATCTATCACATCTAGTTGATCTTATGCTCACCAACACCAGTAATCTCTACTTGTAACCCATTGAAGTAAACAACCACAGTCTCTCCACGCTCCGAGATTATAGTCACCCCACCTACAACACGGCCATTTTCGAAATTAAATTGCAGCTCAAACCCACCGCGTGCCCGCACTCCCCGGATGGATCCAGTCCAGTCCCCCGGACACGCTGGAAGGATGCGAATTACCCCAGGCTCATGGGATTGGACCAGCATTTCGATAATACCCGCCCCGCCACCAAAGTTGCCATCAATCTGGAATGGAGGATGGCTGTCCAGTAGATTGGACAAAGTAGACCGGGATAGTAGTAAGTCTAAATGTCTGCTACATTCGTCGGCTTCGAGTAACCGTGCGTGTAGGTTAAGTAGCCACGCACGACTCCAGCCAGTATGACCGCCACCGTGCTCCGCGCGCCGACGCAGAACTACTCCGCACGCTTCTGCTAGCTGGGGGGTTTGTGTTGGCGTGATTGCATTTCCGGGGTGTAGAGCCCACAGATGGGACGTGTGACGGTGTCCGGGTTCGACCTCGGCATAGTCGGTGGCCCATTCCTGTAGATATCCAGCAGGGGAGATTTGCATTGGTGGGAGGCGGGACTTTGTAGCTTGAACTGCTGGAAGGAGGGGATCCTCGCGATCAAGTCTCTTTGCACAGGATTGGAAGGCGTCCAAAATAGCATCAATGATTTGGATATCGATCGTTGATCCTTCACACAATACGCCCTTTTGTCCCTTGTGGTCGTAGAACGAGTTTTCAGGAGAAGCAGACGGACTAGTGATAAGATATTCACCATTGGCGTCTTCGATCAGGAAGTCGAGGAGAAATTCCACGCACCCACGCAGGGTGGGAAACATCCGGCGGAGGAACTCTTCATCGCATGTATATTGGAAATGATCCCAAATGTGGTAGCATAGCCATGCACCACCTAGCGGCCAGATACTTGCCGGCATCCATCGATCAACGGGGGCTGTATCGGCCCAGATATCCGTGTTGGAATGAGCGGTCCATCCCCGACATCCGTACATGATTTGAGCTGTGGCTTTGCCAGGTTCAACCATGCGCTCGAGTAGGTCAAACAGAGGAAGTTCGCATTCTGACAGGTTACACACATTTGCAGACCAGTAGTTCATTTGAAGATTGACATTGGTGGTGAACCTGGAGCCCCATGCCGGATGGAAGGATGGATTCCAGATACCCTGGAGGTTTGCAGGAAGTGATTTGTGTCCATCCCGACTACATGATATCAGGAGATAACGGTTGTAGTTGTGGTATAGTGCGATCAGACCCGGATCTCGAGAAGACTTGAGACGTTGGTCGGTTGGGATTTCGGGAGAATCCGGGCCAAGTTGCAATTCCATTCGGTCGTACAAGGACTGGTAATCTGCAATATGACGGGTACGAAGATCATCCAGAGAGAGGCCCAAGGCGTCCTCTGCATCTTGCTTGGTTCGCTGATCAATGTCTTCGTGTCGAAATGTAGTTTGCGCTGCAATAACCAGTAGTGTATCACTGGAGTTCACCACCAGATTGTTTCCAATCTTGGTAGTTGTACTATCAGCACTGTCGCACCGAACTGATACGATACAGCACGCTCGATTACTATTCCTGCCCCCAGGCGTAACATGCATGGCAATGGAGTTGCTGGTAGCATTAACATCGTCAAGCCACTCATTTGTTTCAAATTCCAAGTCGCTCATCCGCGTCAGACGAACAACAAACTCAGCCTTGCTCGACGAACGCAACCTGATCGCAAGCACATCATCCGGGTAACTGGCCAGGACTTCACGTTCGAAGCGAGCACCCTGGTACTCATAGCTGACATGCGCTGTAGCACTTGCAAGATCCAGCGAGCGACGATAGCCTGTAACCTGACTGGGATCATGTCCAAAATCCAGGAAAAGGTTTCCGAGCGGCTCATAGTTCCGTTGGCTGATCGGGTTAGCGAAAAACGCCAGCTTGGCGATCTTCTCAGCTTCAGCATGGTTTTCCGCGCGTATAGCATCTCTCAGGCGCGGCAGATACTCGAGCGCATCTTGGGGGTTGCGATCTTGTGGTCCTCCATACCACACTGAATCCTCATTGAGCTGTAGCATTTCGGTGTCGGTGCGTCCGTACACCATGGCGCCTAAGCGCCCATTCCCGACTGGTAGGGCTGAATTCCAGTCCTCCGCAGGCTGCTGGTACCATAATTCCGACATGTTCAATAATCGTTAACGGGTCTGGTCTGCTGGTCTGTGTTGGGTTGATGTATCAATATGGCCTAGCCCTGGAGAACAAAGCGGCAGTTCGGTCCGTCAGCCGCCAATTTGAACAGAACAGGCTGAAAGACCCCAAATCAGATAAGTCAAATGAGCTAGGGACTATTTCATCGATCAAAAACCCGAACTCATTTGCCAAGGACAAAGGATCCCGGGTATTCCTGTTAACAAGCGCCAACTCTAACTCTTTCCCCGGTTGTTCCCCGGATTCCAGGCTAAATGTCTCCCCCAGAGTGTCGTTTCCCTTGTGATCTGGGGTCGATGCGGCCACTCCAGACTAATATTGGGGAGAGATTTAAGCGATACACTAGCAAGGTCGACGCTAGTTCCCCCCGCATTCGCATCTCACTGGTGGGAAATCCCTAGTGCAGATG